GTTTTCAGTAATGTTTGTAGCAGGACAGCGTGCGGCCCCCCCACCACCGCCGGCGGGAGCGGGGGCGGCGGGAGGGTTACCGGTGGCGCCGGAGGAAGAGCTTCCGGCGGACTCTGCGGAAGAGGCGACGACGGCGGCGGCTACCGGGGGAGTGGTGAAAAATGCGGGGCAGTTTGGCGGGGACGAAGTTACAGGCGCCGAGGAGGCGGAGGAAGTCGGGAAAGCGGGCGGCGCAGCGGCGGCCGCATCGAGCGGCGAGCTTGACCCGGAGCGGGAGGTGGCGGGGGTCGCGCCGGAGGTTGCGAAAGAAGGGGACGGGGCTGAAGGCGGCGCGGACGCTGGGGCGGCGGTGGAAGAGGAAGAAGAGGAAGAGTTCGTGTTCCAGTTTGGCACGGTGAACTTGTCGGACGATGATGCCGCTGCTGCTGAAGAGGATGCAGGCCGAGACGCGGGGAGTGACACCGCCATCGAGGCAAGACACAGCCCGGAGAACCTCAGGTACCACGGTGGCGACGTCGACGGAGAGCTTGACGAGGCACCGGTAGTGGCGGCGGCCGCGGCGGAATCGGTAACGCGTGACGGCGACGGCGGCCCCGCGTGGCCGGTGGTAAACGGCGTGGAGGCGCGGTTCGACGGCAAGGAAGGCCTTGCCCGCGGCGAGAGCGGTGGCGCGAACGGTTTCAGCACCGAGAACGGCGACGGCTCGTTGCCGCGGCAGCCCCTGCAAACGGAGCAACTGCGAGGCGGCGTGTTCTTTCCGGCACACCCGCCCCCTGCCCCCTCTCAACGGCAGCAGCAGCCGCAGCAGCAGCCGCAGCCGCAGCAGCAGCCGCAGCCGCAGCGGCAGCCGCAGGATGCCCGTTTGGCGCCGCCGCCTTTCCAGCCCCACAACCAAGGGACCGGCCCCATGCAGCAGCAGCAGCACCTCCACCAGACAGCACACCACCATCAGCAGCAGCAGGTTCTGCCACATCAGCAGCAGCAGCAGCAGCAGCAGCGGGGGTATTCCCCGGTGGAAGGCGGCGGCGGCGTGCACGGCATGTCCCAGCACCACCAGCCGCAAATGCCGATGCAGCAGCGCGGGAGCTTGGGCATGGGAGGGGGTCACCGGGCCCACAACTCCGGGAGCATTCACCACCGCGCCGGGCCGTCACACCCGAAGGGACCACGGGGTGCCGGCGGCGGGAGAGGAGGGGTTGTCAGCTCGAACGGAGGCCCGCTTATGGCAATGGGAGCGGGGCACTACGGCGGCGGTACCGGGCTGCAGCAGCAGCAGCAGCAGCAGCAGCAGAGCGCTGCGAGCGGGTACTGGGGTGGCGGGATGATGCACTACCAGGTGCCCGGGCAGCCGATGATGGGGCCGGCGCCCGGCGGGATCGGTGTCACGGACGGCCAGGCCGTGTACTATCCGCCCCCGCCTCACATGATTGTGCAAGGAGATGGGTCCGGTATGAACGGCCACGCCGGGGGATCGCCGTGGCACGTCGGAGGCGGTGGTGGCGGCGGCAGTGGGCACATGGGCATGGGAATGGGAGGCGGCATGAACATGGCGGTGGACATGAACGGCATGCCCGGCGCGTCGATGCCGTGGATCCCTGAAAGCGGCGGGGGGCAGCACTACATGCAGCCGCACCCCCATCAGCAGCAGCAAGGGTGGGGTGGGTCGCCCGGGCGTCATGGGGGTAGCAGCATGGGCTACAATGCCGCGCCGTTGCAGCAGCAGCAGCAGCAGCAGCAACAGCAACAGCCGCGGTCGATGCACGCCGCGCCATTGCACCAGGCAAGCGGAGGAGGAGCACCACCACCACCGCCGCCACCACCACCACCACCACAAGCGGCCGGGCACCACAGACAGGGGTCAGCCGGTCTTTCCGCCGGGGCGGCGGGTGAGGTTGCGCCGGCGGAAAACACGGCGCCCTTCGAGAACGATGAGCAGCAGTCCGCGCCCGCCGATCACCAAGAGGGAGAGGAAAGCGCGGGGCTGTGAAGTCGCACCGCGAGAGGTTGGGGCGGGCCCACCGTTGTCGCCGTCGCCGCCGCGCACGGCAGGGCAGACGGAACCGCCGCCTGTTCCGCCGGCTGCCGCCGCCGACGGCGCTTTGGGAGAAGCCGCGACGGTGGCGGCGGCGGCGGCGGCGGCGGCGGCGGCCGCGGGAGTGGAGACGAAGACGGAGGCAGCGCCGCAGGCGGCGTCCGAACAACCGGTCGCGGAGGAGACGGCCGCTGTTGCGGAGACTGCTCCTCCTGGCGCAGATTTGAAGGTAACCGATCTCAACAAAGCCAGCACGGCGGTTGGGGACGGGGGGGCGGGGACATTAGGTAGAAACGTTACGGTGGTAGGCAGAGTGGCGGACGCTCGCGCGTCGTCGCAGGCGGGAGGCAAGCGGCAGCCGTCGGACGAGGAGGTGGCGCGGAGCCAACAGGGGCCGGCGGCGGCGGCGATGGCGGCGGCGGCGGCATTAGAGCCGGCAATGCGGCCAAGAAAAGGGAAGAAGGAGAAGGGGAAGAAGGGGCAGCAGCAGCAGCAGCAGCAGCAAGGCCAGCAGGGTGCACGACCAGGGTGGTCGTGCAAGCAATGGGGCGGCGGGGGGGGGGCAGCAGCAGCAGCAGGCTGGGGTGCCCGACGGGGGGAAAGGGAGCAGGGGGAAGGGGAGCAAGGGGAACGCGGGGTCGGGGACAGCGTCGCCGGGGGAGGCGGCGAAGAAGGACGTCCCTTCGCCCTCCGCGCCGATGCCCAGGGGGCTCGTTAACGCGACCGGGCAGAATAACTGCTTCTTGAACGTCGTCGTCCAGTCTCTGTGGCACCTCGAAGCGTTCCGGGCGCAGTTCGGGGGGAGCGGGGACAGCAATAGTGGCACCACCAACGCGGCGGCGGTCAGCGGCGCTTGGGGAAAGAAGCCGCAGGTCTGGAGGGGCGACGGCCCAGTCGCAACGGTAGTAGCGCCGCCCGCACCACCGGCAACGGCGGCTGCGGAGAAGGAGCCGAGCCATCGCGTGGAGGCGTCTCTCCGAGCGTTGTTCCGAGAGCTCTCCGAGGTCGACGGCGGCGGCGGCGGCAACGGGGTTGGGGGGGGGGGTAGCAATAGCAACGGGGGCGGCGGCGGCGGCGGCACGGGAACGACCAGCGCGTCCGTAGAGGCGCTTCGCACGGCGCTGGCGGAGCTGTCGGGGGCGCGGTTCGGCGCCGGCAAGATGGACGACGCGGCGGAAGCGATGGAGACCATCCTGGGGTGCCTCGTGAAGGGATCGAGCCCCGCGGTCATCCGGCAGGTGTTCAGCATGCGCATCAGGGAAGCGCTCGTCTGCCCGAGGTGCGGGACGTCCTCTCCGGAGAAGCCCGCGACCTACGAGGCGAACGTTTTCTACGCGCACGTGTCGGCGCTGCGGGAGGCGAGGGAAAAGACTCCCGGTTGTCCTTTCGACGTGGCGCTCAGGGTAAGAGAATAGAGAGGGGGCGTCGCAGTGGAAGGGGGGGAGGGGGGGGGGGGGCGACACCCCGTGTGTTGTCTTAACAGTTTTTGAGAGACGGTGATGCCTAGCGTAAGTGGGATTTCGGCCTCGCTGACGGTTGTCCTTGGTGCTATCCCCGTGTTGACGGCGTTGCTGCTTGTTGTCTATTGCTGCCGTTGCTGCGGTGCGTAAAGTGGTAGCATCGCTATTTGCTGAGGACACTCAATCCCGATTTAGTTCTGCGACCCACGGGTGGCGCTCGCGTTGCCAAAATGCCAACGGTGAAACATCTCGATTTTTCGCACAACCCCCGACTCCCCTTGTGTACAATTGTTCCACCATCACCTTTGCACGTAGTCCCGCCAACCCTCCCATTCGTCTTTCTTCTCTCTTTCCCCCCATCATTTATCCGTCTGTGCCCCCCCCTGGCGCGTTTTTCTACCCCCTCGTTTCCTGGTTCGTCTTTCACATGCGTTGCCAGGAGGCAAGCCACGGCGATCTGGTGACGTGCCGCAACGCCGGGTGCTCCCTGTCGAGACGGAAAGAGCGCCTGCCCAGCCAGCGCTTCATCACCGGGGTGCCCCCGTCTGTGTTCTCGCTGGGGCTGGTGTGGAACAACTGGGGTCCCGGCCTCGTGGCCGACCTCCTGGGGTTGCTCAGCCCTGTGGTGGACCTGGACGTGGTGTTTTCGAGGGGACGGGAGCACGGCGTCGCCGGGGCGGGGGAGGTCTCTGCGGGGAAGGTGTGTTGCGTAGCCCCCCCCCTTTGGGTTGGAATTGCAGAACGCAAGGATGATGACACTACCAGCTTCTGACTTTATCCTTATCCTTGTGAAACGTGGCCTGGGCGGGCGAAAACCCAGCATCTCGCTCCGTCCCGGCTTTTGTAGGGATCCGGGGTCCATGGTGTAACGACTACGGCATGCGTTTGCATGAGAACCCCCCCCCGCGCGCGCGCGCGCCCGGCGTGGGCAGAGTGTCGGCACAACTTCATTGTTAGAAAATGTACATGCAATCACAAGGCTACCGTTCGGGATACCGTATAACGACAGCATTCGAAGGGAATGGGTTGAAGTCTTGACAGTGACGTGGGAGAGAAATTATTTGTTTCGGCTGTTTTATTAGCAAAGAAGGAGCTTTCTCCGGGTGCCCCTGGGGAACGATCCGGTCGTCCGATCGTCCGCGGGCATGTTGCGGTGTGAGACAATCACGGCAGCAGCAGGTTTCGTCGTTTACTTGGCAAGCGTTTACCTGCAGCATGTCTCGGCTGCAAGATTGGCCTCATGATGGCATGTCCGTTGTTTTTTTTCCTGCTTGGCGAATTCGAAGAGGTCACTCGGAACCGTATCGGTTGAAATTTCCTCACGTAGAATTATGTGACCCACCGCGGTTCTTCTTCATGTTTCAACGTCATGTACACGAGGAGGGCAGAAATGATAGACAAGAGATTAGCAGACAGACCGAAGCCATGCCTTCACAGTCCCGCTCACCCTCCTCCCACGCCGCCGCCGCCGCCGCCGCCGCCGCCGCTCAAATGGGTCCTCAGGCGCAGCTGAGAGGGTTCTTCTGTTTCCAAGTACAGAAGCACCACTACGTGGCCTTCGTGTACAACAGGGACAGGCAGGAGTGGCTGCTGCTGGATGACGACCAGGCGGTGCCGGTAAGGACCGTTTTGAACCGTGCGCTGTTTTTTTCCAAAGTATTTAGGGAGCTTTGCGAGGCGAGTTCGAAGAGAAAGAAGTTCGAAGCTGCCGTTCCAAATGTTTCTGAACCCTATTGTACTGGCAAAATAAAATCAAACTTTTCGATGACTTGCAAAATTTTAGTAGAAGAGGAAAATTTGGAAAATCAGCCATGTTTAAATGGCCCTAAGGGGATGCTTGTAGCAGGGGAAGATCTCTTGGGGGCTGGGGAAGAGGGCGGGGGGGGCGAGTTATTTTCGGCTTTGCCTTTCAGCGTGTTGGCTATGGGCTGTGCTGTGCGTCGTTCCCGTTCTCGTGAGCATGGTGTCTGTCTGTCTGTCTGTGGGTGCTGTGTTTCTTGAATTCGCATCGACCGCACCAACCGGCCGACCAACGAATAGACCGTTGTGTTTATTTGGCGGGATAAAAAAGGCTGACACTCTTTTGTGTGTGTGTGTGTTTTTGTTCGCGTCGACTGCACTGATTTGGGTGGTAATGATCATTTGGCGGATTTAATCAGATGGAAAACGAAATCTGCGTTCTCTACTGTACCCGATCCTCCGACCGGAGGCGTGCGTCGCTTGTAGGGTAACTGCTTCCGCGGCGCTAGTCTACCGCCTTTCGCAAACGTACCTGTACCTTTGTACTTAACGCTACATGATGTCAACCCCTCTTCGCGGCTCCGTTGTGTGCAGATTGGCCCGGACTTTGCGGGGGTCCTTGGTCGGTGCGAGGAGGACAAGCTACACCCCTCCCTCTTCTTTTTCGAGCGGAAACAAGACGCTACGGCCTACGGTAGCTAGCTAGTCCCACCGCGTCTTTAGTAAGAGTAGCAGCACACCCGGTAGCAGTAATAGCGGTGCCAGGCCAGTTGTAGCTGAGAGAGAGAGAGAGAGGGAGCAAACCGGGCCGGTCATCGGCGGACCGATCGACTCCCTTGGTTGCGAGAAGAGGGAGGGCCAGGTAGGACAGGAACGAACTAACTCTCTTGTTTGTGGCTCGAGCATCAGAGCAGGGGAACAATTCCAATGATTTGTCGTGTTTTCAGGACACAGGGGCAACCAGAGCTTTTGTGGAAACGGCTCATTTTTGAGAATCGATGAGGCGGGGAGGGGGGTGGAGGCACCAACCTCCCTCCTTCAAAATCGGTCACCCTTTGTTTTTGTTCGAGAGGATCGAGGGAACGGGAAGAAGCACAAGGCCCGCCCTTTTGACGACGGTGGGATCGTTGGTGCGTTTTTATCTCCACGCATGCCTTTTTAGCCGGCCACCCGTGCTCTGATGTACTTGCTGGGGATCAAGCATGCTTGGCGGGGGTGATGGTGGCTTTAGCGGAGGATTACCACACGTGTTGCGAGGCGCGCCTATTGCCTGCGGTTGTTGTAGAGGCGCAATCTAGCCTGGGAATGGTAGACGACGGCACAGGGGCACACTGCGGAACCCAGCAGACGGGAGTATGAGGCAAGGGGGGGTCAACAATTTGTGTTCCACGTATCTAGATCTTTTTGGTGGATATTTCATGCGCTATTTTTATTCGAGTTTTTAGTCTGGTGGGCGGCCGGCGAAAATAAGCTCGCAGCAGCGACCGATTGATGGATCGATCGTGTTGACGAGCGGCCGGAACAGAGTTGGACTCAAGCTTTAGATAGACGAGGGGAAAGGACTGGACCGCTGTGACCAACCCCGTGTTCTCCCTCGTCTCGACATACAGGCAGCAGGCCTTGATTGTCAGGCCTTGGTCAATCCCCGGGGAAGACTCTCATTCGTCGTAGGTACCGAGTGCATGTGCATGGTGATAATAGCATTTGCTGTGTACAACAGCTGTACTTTGCGCTTTTTTGTTTGTTGGAAGTGGAAAGGAGAACCTAGCTTCGGGGAGGTCACGGCGGTACACAGAATGGTGCTGGTGTTTTGCCCCCACGTTTCAGCAAGCAAGGGGGCGTCAGGTAGCAGTAATCCCTTTGCTCTGCATGATTTGGGGAGCGGGGGCGGGGGCGACAGGAGGGGGGTATTTTTTTTTGTGATTCAATCACAACGATGTGTGTTGTGCCCCCGCCCTCATCCCACCCGACGTATTCTGTACTTGTACGAGGTGTGCTCGTTGTCTCTTGCGTCTTTCGGGATGACAGGGTTCGCATAAATTGTCTGTGTGGTTCTTGTGCGTCGTTTTTTTTTCTTCGGGTTCCGCTCTCTCTCCTCTCACAGCAGTGGTTTCACGCAAAACCGAGTAGAGCTAGCTTCGATCTAATTTTTGTTGTGGGGCGCGCTCGGCGCTGATAGAGATACGGTACGCTAGGGTATGGCGTCACCCCGAAAAAAATTTTTTTTGTCCTTCTCTCGTAGCGCCCTCTACGGAGTGAGGTGGATCGTCCTGCTGCTTTCTTGTTCCTGCACCACGAGCAATGCGCTCATCATATTAACGAAGTTGCGAAATCAACCGCGGGGGTGGGAGGGGCTGCAGGGGGGGGGAGGGATAGATTAATCCGAAGGCCCCTGTGTAGTGTGTCATCAACGGTTGGGTGGACTATCATATTTTCCACGTTTTTTTTATTTTGTGTCTGTTTGCAACAGCTAAAGCACTAGCTTGGTGATGATGAAGGTTTTTTTGTTTGGACGAGGAGGCACTTTGGTTTTTTGGTGCTGGTGCTTGTTGTTTTGGCTCGCGCGTGCGCGCGGTGGAATGAATGCGGATGGGGGGCGGGCGGGGGAGTTGTGTTCGGGGGGGCGGAAGCGCTAATTGGTTTAGTTCATCCGCGTTTTTTTCGTGCTTCGTGCTAATAATACCAGATGCTCGCAGAACGCAGTTGATTTTCGATATTACTGCGGTATTAACGAAATACAAACAGCAACGATATGAGGGTAGTTGGAACCAAAGTCAACCCCTAACTTGATCATTGAGCCTGAGATTGTTTTGCGTCATGTTCACTCGCTGCCGCGATGATGCTTGGTATTTGTGTCAGACGCCACGTACGCACGCTGCTTCCAACGCAAGCTGCCACAGACGTATGCGCGCGTACGCGTTCATGTACCACGGAAATTTTAACTGTTTACTCTTACGTACTAGTGTACTTTTGTGTGGCCTTGGTGCTCCTGTGCGAGCCCGGCTGGTGATGGTCCGTCCAGAAAAGTAACCCAAAGACACAGGGAGGTCTAATGACTTACGACGACGCCCATGGGACAAAACACACACAACCGTTTTTCTCACAATCTGGCTCGTTTTTTGTGGAGTGTGGACTCGCTCGGGAAGATCTCTTTCTAGTACCAAGTACGGAGATTGCGGGTGAGATTACTGTAGAAACAACTTAGCTTGTACAACTCATCAGTACGAATCGTTCCGAGTTCCGAGTGCCAAACGACCGCGGCGGCGGGTTCCTTCCTTCCTTCCGTCCGTCCTTCCGTCCTTCCTTCCTTCATCCGTCCTTCCTTCCTTCCTTCCTTCCTTCCCAGCGTGCTGCACGGGGTACGTACGTACGTACCCAACGAGGTGCGTGTTGGTGGGGCTATAGCGAGGAGGTCCGTTTTTCTTTGTTGTCTGCAAATTGTATAACCAAAAAACGTCGATCTCTCTGCCCAGCACCTCCATCATCTACCCGCGTATTCTGGTGGAGGAAGAAAATGTAACGAAGGAGTAGAAGGAAGGTGTTGGGTAGTTGGTTCGTCGGGTGTACCGTTGGTGGGAATGCATACCGTATATGACACAAGATAACACACCCCCTGGACCGATTTTCAAAGCTCGATTACTCCACGACGAAGAGGGATGCATAAAATGAAACAATACGTTTTCGAACAGCTCTCGACGAGACGGTTCCAACGCCGCCGTTTTCGGCGCTGTGACTCTTCCTGCTGTTGAGAAATCGAGCTTTGAAAATCGGCCAAGGGGGTGTGTTATCTTGTGTCATATACGGTATTATATTGTACGTACGGCGGTGTTGCTGGAGGGGGTAGAAGGAAGAAGGTGTTGGGTACATAGTTGGTTCGTCGGGTGTGCTGTTGGTGGGAATGAAAATTATTACGTACGGCGGTGTTGCCGGAGGCCATCGAGATACTTTACTTACAAAGGCATGGACATATGCTGGCGTTGCAAACGCAAGGAAACGAACAAGTTTCAATTTCCGGGGTATATGTGCGTGTGTATCAAAGTATCAGTGATGCTACCGCCTGCACATTTGCGCAGTCCGCAGTGTTGTAGAGATTTGCACAGTCCGCAGCATTCTTCGTGTGCGTGCCTTGAGGAATAGACTACTGGACACATGTGCATGTATGTCCAGAAGTTAGAGATGATGGGCATACAGCAGTATGATATCAAATAGTCTATCAAATCAATCATCTCCGGCCATGATTTGGGTACTATTTTGGGGTTGGGTCGCACCCCTTCCTCGCCCAATCGTCCCGCACACGCAGAACGCCCGTCGAGTGCGTCCGCTGACTGCGTGCCGAATGTCATCAGACGTAGCTCAAGGCTAAACCAGAGAGGCTAGGTAGTGTAGACTACATTGGTCTCCCGGGAGTCATGGAGTCTCCTCTACGCTGATGTACATTGATTGACAACCTCCTGTCCCGAATCATACCTTTTTCCGATACCGGTACGATCCATGCTATCTATGTACTTACAGCAGTATGTACACAGCGAATATAGAAGGGGCAGAACATGGCTACTGCCTACATGGACACGTAAATATCCCCGACACATTGTACCAATGTTGTTGTTGTTGACGAATGGAACGCCAAAAACAAACCGGACCTGGTCGAACGTTCGAACGTCCGAACTCAGTGACCTATGAGCGAGGCACTGATTGGCCGAGGCCGACATTCCAGCCTTCTTGCAAGAAATAATTATGAGAGGAGGCATTTCCCACAATACGCCCCTCTTGCCGCTCTCCAGCTCTCTAACCTCTGCCTTCTGCCCATTCCCCGTAGCGCAGGCGAGGCCGAACGCTGCCAAAGCAACTCAACCGGAGAACACAATGTAGCTGCCACCCCAAAAGGGAACATTTGGTTTCACATTTGATCGGTGCGGCAGTCGTGGTTCCACGAGCGAGTGAGCAACCCTCAATCAAGCCTATAACAACGCTTGTACGCTTGCTGGAGCGTGGTCATGTAGTCTGGTGGTATTATCCGGCAGGTCGAGGACGAGCAATCGGGATCTCCGCCCTACCATACCTTCCTCTTCCCCCTTTTGGGTGAGTCGTACATGTATTCGTGTGCCGGCGTCCGGACGTGTCAGGCAGCAGTAGAGTTGGAACTCGTTTGTGCTAACACTGAAGTGCGTGTCCTACCAAGCAAGGTAGGTACGTGATTGCTGTACCGTGGTCTCCGGCACTCCGGCAGGCAGATCGAGGACGAGCGGTCGGAATTCTCCCACTGACATACCTTTCTCTCCCCCTTTCTCGGTACATGTCCGGAAGTGCCGGGTTGCAGTAGAGTTCGAGCTCGTTTCCTGGATGAGCAGTACTATTTATCCAGGAGACGCCTCCTGCACATCTGACTTTCCTGGGGTCCAACTCCAGTAAAACTTCCGTCGCAAATTATAAGTCAGTTGACCACCGTCGTGTATAATGTTAGTAGGTGAGATTGCAGCCCTTGTGGTATACACTACAGATTAGCAGTCCGCGATTTGCCGAAAGATCCTTCTATCATCGAGATGGGTGAGCTACGAGCAGTATTCTTGAAGCTGCTGCGCGGTCCGATTTAAAAACGCCTCAAGCGCCTTTGCCTACATATACATCAGGCATTCAAATCGACCATGGCAATGAGTAGGAGATGTGGGGGAAGACCTGCGCTGAAGTTCGCGGCCCCACACCCT